CATATCAAAGATCATTCCTTATTATTTTTCAATAACCTGAAATAGGCTCAAATAGTAATCCACTTATCTTAATTTACAGTTTAATATGGTAAAAAGATTTAAAATTGATTAGCGATTGCCATTATAATCTCACATGATATGTGTTTTTATGAATTTATTGAGTAACTTGTGTATCTTGTAGGGTGTGTGACTTATTGTTATTTAAGGCAACATCTGGCAAAAGAAACAATCGCATTGCTATTCTGGTGCATCTCATTCTAATTCATTTATCTGCACTTGAATAAACAAGAAAAAATTACACTTAAGTTAATTAATTTTTGCTTGCGAGTAGCTGATGCATAACAGTTAAAATTACATGTGATAAATTTGGTTACATATTTATGAATGCATAATTCAGGTCATATAACAGGTCACCCTTTCTTTTAAGTTTTCTAAAGTATAAAACAAGTAAAATTCTGTTTAAAACAGTTTTAGGCGGAATCTGTCACACTGCAGGCTTCTGTTCTGTATGTGTTCAACGTGAGCTAAATGTCTTCCTCCTATCATTTACACATCAAAACAAAAAAATTACTTTACGGAGACAGCAAGAATTGACGTTTTTAGATCTAAAATCAATCTTCAAGGGCTAAATTGACTTTGTTGAACTACAAATCTAATCTGGGCGTAGCTCCATTTGCTGCAGGGAGGAATATGAGTGAGCAAAATAATGAACAATTTCAATATTTGAATTCTGCTCACATCCCATCTGGGTAATGTCTCTTTCAAAGGCTCCAGGATCTGTGATAATAGCCGATGAATGATGAGTCCTTTTGCATGCATTAGGACTTTTATTCCCTCACCCTATTCATACAGTTTTCCGGCAGCGCTTGAATTCATGGACTATAAAGCCATCCATCCCGACACACGGTTGATTCAACAGAACTTTCCCAAGAATACACAAACGGCGGCGCCTCAGGAAGCACTCTCTGGATAATGGGAGGTCATTTCTGCTATTTTGCTGACATTCAGCCAAATTTTACAAAGAGCTGAAATTACAGTGGCTGCTAAAAAAGAGGAAATGGATTTCCTAATACCATAAGCATGTGGTAATATGTCAGATAGGTGCTAGGGGAGTCGATACAGAATTTATTTATTAAAATTATGCAGAGCGACTTTGTGCAGCCGAGCAAAATAACAAATAAATGAAAAGATAAGCACATCTCAGAAATCCTCAGCGAGCATTCAGAATGAAAACAGTAAACTGAAGAACTAATCAAAACTAATACCTTTGTGCCTCCAGTATGAAATAAGGGATTAGAGTTGAAATAGGGGTCAATACTGTTGTCCAATACATTTCAACATATAAATAAATTACATGTACACATAACATCATGCTTCAGATGAGTCAAGATGTGTCAACTACTCTTTTTATACTCTTTTATTACCTTTTTTCACACATCAGTGGATCAGTGGCAACTCTTTTAATATGGATATATAAAACTACATATTTTCTAAATAAACTAGTAGGTGAGGACTACTCAATCTGTCAATCCTAAGGTAGCCCTGTATCACTGTAGACAGGTTTCGGGTTTATCCAAAGGTCTATATTGTAGCTGAAGGAAAATGACATCAACAAATTTATTTTGTCACAATACACAGTTCTGAATGGCCGTCTGAATGGATGGTGCAGTACAGTACCTACCACCAGGGCCATGGTAACAAGTGCAAAGAAGCTAGCACAATGGAATGAACCACAACTCAAGACAGTTTAGTAGAAGTATTTTTAACTTAACATGTTGCAATGCTCATGGCACAAGATGCTAAAAAAAACAGTCAAACAAATAGCAACAATTAAATTCATCAAATAAACTTGCTAATTAGCACATTATTAGGAAAGGCGATTTGCAAAGATTCATTAAAAAACTTTACACTCACTTCTTCCAGAGGTGAAGCTGGATCACGAATGATTCGCGCGAACATAGATGCATTTAGGTAGATCGGGGGCGCATTCCCTTCAAGAAACAAAGGTAATCCACTGCGTCTTCAGTGGCTCAGATGTAGGGAGTAAATGATGACTGCTATGTTCATTATTACATCCAACAACAAAACACCTCAATCGCTATGGAGCCATTCTTGTCTACATCTGCTCCAGCGGTGAAACAATGGCGAACTGATGACAGCTCACTCAGGGCGGAGCTAAGGTAAGACGCCAGTCCAGTCTGTGCTGAAACGCTACTGTCAATCAAACTATCGTGGGAGGGGCCTGTTTTTGTGACGTCACACAGACAGGCATCTGAGATGGGCTTGATTTAAGAAAGGGGAAATGATTTAACGAGATTTTTAAAAAAAACACTGGGTGGATTTTTATCATTTTAGGGTGGTTGTGTACACACACTGCCAACACACATTTCAGTTCAAACAGCTTGTAAAAGTGCATGTCGCATCTGATGACTTCTTTAATTAACATTATTAAATAACATAATTGAATATATTAACTTTCATTTTTCGGAAAGGATCTTTCTGTTCGGTACGCATGTATACCGAACAAGTCATAAAATTTTTTCAGGAAATTTAGACATGCCATATTGGCGCTCTTTGATGTGGCGTGACAGATCGCTGTATAGAAGCCTCAGTTCTAACGGCAGCACAGAGCATGAGCAAGCGCAATCATCCCTTCCTTTTTACTACTAGTTTTAACATGAAATAAACGAGTAAAAAGTCAGAATTATGAGACAAACTCACAATTGTGACTTTATAACTTATGAGATAAAACTCGGAATCTCAAGATAAAAAGTCATAATTGTGAGATCATAATTACCTTTTTTATATTTTTATTCGATGACTGAACTAAGCTTCCATAAGATAGTGAGTGAAATGGCTTGACAAAAGCTGATGTTATATACACTAGGGGTTTAACGGTACATGTAGGCTATTTAGGGTCTTTTTATTTAGGGCTATATAGGGTCTTTTGGTTCGGTACGCATGTGTACCGAACAAATACAGCGTTGGTTTAACCACTGCATGAGCGTAACTTCATTGGAAACTTCCAATTATTATTGTTACTTTTGATGAGAAACAAAGTCTCATCTTTCAAATTATGTCAATTTTTTCAGGAAATTCAAATGATGAATGCCGTTTTGGCACTCTTTGATGTGGCGTGACAGATCGCTGTATAGAAGCCTCAGTTCTAACGGCAGCACAGAGCATGAGCAAGCGCAATCATCCCTTCCTTTTTACTACTAGTTTTAACGTGAAATAAACATGAATGAACATCTCATGTAATCGCTCAATCAGTGTTTCAATTGCGGAAAGACGCCAATAAAACCACTTGTAAACAAAAAGTCACGTAGCATTTCATTTACCTCAGGCAAGTCATCAGTGTCTCCAGCTTGTTATTTGCTAGAGAAATTAAGTCTAGAGAAGAGCATTTTGAGAAATATTAGACATTATAGTTTACTTCACCTGTTAGTGATATATTTATATATTATATAATTGATATTATATAAAATATTTTTTATGAAACAAATTATGAGTCAAGTTATGAGTCAACAGTCATGACTGTGTCAATGATTATATTTCAACAACAAATAGAAATTGTATACTTTAGAAGTTAATTTAAAAACTGCATTGTGTGCAATTTACATGTTTGCATACACATTTTTAATTTGAGTGTTATTATAGTTAAAAATAAATAGTAATTGAATTTTGGGCTCTGTTGTAAATTGTACCTTAATAAACCTTATAGTAATGTAAAAGGGTTCCCTATAGTTTAGAGGTAGATTTTTATCCCTAAGAAAATTTTAATTGTAATTGAATTTATTTAAAGAAAATATAAAAGAAGTCTAAAACATACATTGTGATTTACTATTATATCATTAGAATAATAAACATAAATTCACAAGTTACATTTAAATATTCAAACTTTACAACTATATTTTCAGATTTACCTCTATTTATTCAGACTTTTAACTATATATTCAGATTTACATTAATATATTCAGACTTATAACTATATATTCAGATTTACATTTATATATTCAGAATTATAAGTATATATTCACATTTACATTTATATATTCAGACTTATAACTATATATTCAGATTTACTTCTATGTATATATTCAGACATGACATAATATGTTCAGCCTTATAACTATATATTCACAATTTACATGTATATATTCAGATTTTTATATAATTATTTCATATTTGGCACCTCAAAAAAATTTATATATATATATGTATATATATGTTTAGTTTTTTTTCCTCCTGTTGTACCGAAACCAAATTAGAATGTCGTGGAAAAGTTCATTTATTTCAGTAATTCAACTCAAATTGTGAAACTCGTGTATTAAATAAATTCAATGCACACAGACTGAAGTAGTTTAAGTCTTTGGTTCTTTTAATTGTGATGATGTTGGCTCACATTTAACAAAAACCCACCAATTCACTATCTCAACAAATTAGAATACTTCAGAAGACCAATAAAAAAAACATTTTTAGTGAATTGTTGACCTTCTGGAAAGTATGTTCATTTACTGTACATGTACTCAATACTTGGTAGGGGCTCCTTTTGCTTTAATTACTGCCTCAATTCAGCGTGGCATGGAGGTGGTATGGAAGCCCAGGTTTCTTTGACAGTGGCCTTCAGCTCATCTGCATTTTTTGGTCTCTTGTTTCTCATTTTCCTCTTGACAATACCCCATAGATTCTCTATGGGGTTCAGGTCTGGTGAGTTTGCTGGCCAGTCAAGCACACCAACACCATGGTCATTTAACCAACTTTTGGTGCTTTTGGCAGTGTGGGCAGGTGCCAAATCCTGCTAGAAAATGAAATCAGCATCTTCAAAAAGCTGCTCAGCAGAAGGAAGCATGAAGTGCTCCAAAATTTATTGGTAAACGGGCAGTGCCACAACCTGATCACCTCCATGCGACGCCGAATTGAGGCAGTAATTAAAGCAGAAGGAGACCCTACCAAGTTATTGAGTACATGTACAGTAAATGAACATACTTTCCAGAAGGTCAACAATTCACTAAAAATGTTTTTTTTTTTATTGGTCTTATGAAGTATTCTAATTTGTTGAGATAGTTAATTGGTGGGTTTTTGTTAAATGTGAGCCAAAATCATCACAATTAAAAGAACCAAAGACTTAAACTACTTCAGTCTGTGTGCATTGAATTTATTTAATACACGAGTTTCACAATTTGAGTTGAATTACTGAAATAAGTGAACTTTTCCACGACATTCTAATTTATTGAGATGCACCTGTATATATATATATATATACACGTCATCCCATTTATAATGTCATCCCATTTCTCTTTTATTGTTTATGAATCACTGTTTTGCTAAGTAACAATACATGTGAACATAAGATTCAGTAATCTCAAAAAACTCAATCCAGATTTACTAATCAAATATCAAATCCACACAAGCTTTTTGAAGCTTTTTGAATCAAATTAACCAGAGAGGAATTATCACGATTAGAATGACAGTATACGGCTTAATTAACGACTGTATTAAACGACATACAAAGAATCAAGCCTGCAGCACAATTCTGACTGCTACCAAGCCCAGCTGCATTTGATTCCCATCCTCCATAAGTAAATAAGTCAAGCAAATCCTGAAAGGATTGGGGTATTATTAGGTAAACATTTTTAAATGCCTCCAAGCTTTCAGTTCCAATTAAACTACTACAAAGTAAACTTTGAGTCATTAGGAACTGAGACTGTTAGTTAATAAAAGAGCAGAATGGACTATGACAACACGGCATTTAGTGTTTCAGATATGCTTTTGTTTTTTAGAGCTGCATCTTGGCACCTTGTTCATCGGGGCTACATTTAAAGTCCACTCAGTGTGTTTGAACACACTTTAGTCTGATTATGTCCAACCAAACAGTCAGCAGATCTAATTATCTCTAATGACATTATACTGTCACATTATATTGCACGATGTGCAGGTGCACTCATTAATATAGGGTAAAAGGGTCTGATTCAATCAGGCATTGAGAGGACGCCGACCAACGCTTTCCCGAGGCAGAATTGTGACTACTTCACAACTGTTGATGAGAACCATAAGAGACTGTCAAGGCAATTAAATGCTACATTTAAACCTGCCTGTTAAATGATAGTATAAAATGGACAGTTCAGACTTTAACATTTAAAATGGGATGAGCCCAACATGAAGGCTATTTCTGACTGTAAATGAATTCTGTATTAATATGGCAAGTGTCTACATTGCTTTATGTTTAGCTGTTGTTTGGACACACTTTCTCACTGCTCTGTGCTTGGCTCTCTTGCTTTTTTATTTTATAAGTAAATGTAAAAGATATATAGATATATCATAACACCTAATATGCCATTTTGTCCGACAAACAAACCAGAGAGGAGAGTAGGTGTGCATCTCAATCAGCTCCCTAGTTCAGTAGTCAGGGCACTGATTAGGGAGCCAGCCATTTTAAGGGCTGTCTCAATCGCGAAATCCTTCCAGTGCACTGGAACGTATACTGGAATGCACAGCAAATATTAGGGAGCACTGATACTCACTCTGCTCCCTTACTGGGAATTACGTCACATTTCTGAAGTGGTAAACAAACCGCATGAGCCAACTCAATAAACATAACATTCATAATTAATAATCGGCTGAAATGTTGTAAGGACATTTATCAGAACAATGTGTTTAAAAAGAATAAATATAATATCAAAAAGGAAGTGATGCCAAAAGCAACCTGCTCTGTCTGCTGGCACATTGTCAGCGACCTCTTTGCTCCGCGATGTATTTTTCACTGCGTAAGAACATGATGTGTGTCGTCAGAGCCATAGATATGTATAGATGCCACATTTGACCGCTTCAGGGGCCTCATTTATAAAGTGTGCGTATGCTCAGGTTTGATCTTAGAGTGTGTGTACACTTATATTCACATCAACACTCATATTTGTAAAAACTGCCTTTGACGTGGAAAAGTGCAGACGTACATACTATTTCTTGTCAGAGTACTGCAGGTTTTTGAAAATGTAAGCTGGTCTTGCAGCTCGCTGTTCTAAATTAAAGGATTTGGACGATGACTGGTGATCTTTTATATGGTAATGACATTAATTAGGAGTCGTTTACAAGGCAGAGAGCTGAAACCTTTCAGTTGTGTACAAGTTCAGGATCATTTGCGATTCATAGATTTCGGATAGATTTTATCTGAAAGAGAGGTGTATATGTGTTTTCTGTGCGTAGGTTCATTCTATGAATCACACGTAGGCATATTTGAGAGATTACTGTAAGATCAAATTTAGGATGGTTTCTGCACAACATTTTATAAATGAGGCCCCAGACACATTGACGTGTCTGCCATCTTGGAACGGTCCATGTTGTCACTCACAATAACAATCAACGAGTTTCAAGATGCAACAACACTGTGCAGCATTTGGTTGTAAAAACTGCCTAAATATAAATTCCTGAAGAAACTTGATAACATTTCACAGGTAAGAATATGTTGGTTTGTGTTTTTTAAAAGTACCTTTTAAATGCCTTGTTAGCTACAGACGTCGTCTTGTTGTATTGTGTTAGTTTAGCAAAAGCATCTTCTGAAGTCTACTGAAGATATAAATATACATACATGTGTATAACCACAGTTGCAGTGCAGATGCACTGGCAACTTGCTCTCGAGTGTTCATGGACGTCTTTGACTGCTCAAATATGGCGGATGGCTTAAGTATAGCGGCCCATAGAAAGAGCCGTTAATAGGGCATCTATCTATACATATGGTTAGATCTAGAGCACCATGGTTTGTAGCAACAGTAACAAAGGGGTGGGGGTCTTAGCGTAGGGTCAATTATGGAATGAGTTTAATTAATCTATAAAGCAGCTCAGAACAGTGATGTCATCATCCAGCTCAGTTCAGTTCAGTTCTCATCCAACAGTGTCTGTGCAATACTGCCAAATATTAGGTGCCCCCAACTAAGCAAGCCAAAAGGCAACAGTGGCAAGGAACCCAACACCATCGGTGACAGAAATGGAGAAAAAACCTTGAGAGAAACCAGGTTCAGTCAGGGGTCCAGTTCTCCTCTGGCCAGGCAAACCAGCATGGTGTGGTTTAATTCCATGCATCACTAGTCAGAGTTGTGGTCTGATATCTTTCTGAATATTTCATCCAGATCCTTAAGCTTCAACAATAAATGTCACATATTACACTTCTGTATGGGCCTCATTCCTGAGACAAGACAACATAGCTGCCTATATTCAGACGGAATACCTCCATCTGGTTCAGAAACTACTTTCTGCACAAACTGCCAAAGACTTCTATAAAAGATTGCAGTTCTTAAAACAAAAGTTACTCGCAGTCCTGCCAGAACACACAGGAAAGCTTCATCATGGACCCCCTCAGCATACAGCTGGTGAGTCCTGTGAATCTTGTGCTCCTTGACAGGTTATTCTGAGTATAGAGAAACAAACAGTAACTGATGACCACACTAACTGATGGCATAAATCAAGACAGTTGTGAAAGGTAATCAGTGGGGAAGTGTAATGTGTCAGAACTCATAAGTATTACAACTCTATATACAAACAAAACATGAGGGCTCGTAACATAAATGCTTCAAAACTCTGCTGTCTTTTGTCACATCCTTGTCTTTATTTTTCATATTGCCTGCACATAATTTCAGCGGATTCAGCAGCAGATCACACTATAAATAAACGCATAATCGCTTACTTTATGTCCTCTGTGTTTACATCCGTATGACAGCGCGCTGCACTAGTGTTGCCAAATCCACAGTTTCCCCACGGAATTAGGCTACTTTTCTACTGTTGCCGCGAGATGTTTTTCAACTTCGTGGGTGGACGCGACCCCACTAACGCAATATTTATCCCCCTGAACATGGTTGTGCTAGTTTTGGACTAGTTTTGAGAAGCAATTGGGCAGATTTTGTTGTGTAAACCTGGAAACCCTGTTCGTATTGTTCTTATGCGGGTCAGTTCAGAACCATGATCTGTTCACACTGTAAAACTGATAGTGGCCACATTTAAAACAACAATGTGAACAGCTGCACAACAAAATCAGATCAGAGAAAAAAAATCGGAATTGAGCACTAAGGCTCACAGTGTGAACGTAGCCTAAGTGACAACTGCATACTGCTTTCCTCAAGAAACCATTTTTGATGTAACTGGAACTTCAGAACATTCTGAAGAAGCACAAGACTGCAAAGCAGGTTATTATTCATATGGGGAAGAATGATATTCGGAAAGAGCAGTCAGAATTCTGAGGGATTTCAATGAACTCTCTGAACCATTTGGAAGACTGGAAATTCAGTTGTTTATCAATGGACCACTCCCAACAAGAGGGAGTAAAACTTAGAAGAACATGCAACATGAGAGGAATGAATGTAATTGACATTTTCTGGACCCAAAGACAACTTTTTAAATCAGATGTCCTCCACCCAAACAAACTTGGTGCAAGAGTGCTAAAGGACAAAATATCTACTTCTCCCTCAACCATCCTTTAGCAGTATAGTCCACTGCACCAAAATGGCACAAACACAGCTGGTGAGTGTCTGAATGACCACAGGACTTCACATCAGTACCTGAATGGACATGTGATTGACATATGCAACAAGGACGATGATAACAGCCATAACAACCACTGCTTACGGACACAATCCCAGCTGAGCCCTGCCCATAGAGAGACGAACTATAGACGAACACATAGTTACGAACTAGAACTGCTCCAAGATTCTGCACCCAAAGATGAACTTTTGGGAAGGAAGCCAGGGTAACATCTTTCAGCCTCAGATGACACCAGAGCCACAGTCACTCATAGCAGACATGTTATCCCTCTCTCCAGCATCTCCACTTCTGAGTTCCTAAGAAAAAATAGAGGAACTGGTGTATGTTGGAACCAAACTCTCCCACTCTTTTGCTGCAAGCCCCCAGATATCAAACTAAAAGCGATGAACTCCGCAACCACTAAAGCCTATGGGTTGCTCTTGCTCTACCCCTGTGAGATCTCTCTGGCCTCTACCACAACACCAGGCCCCACGTCATTCTCCA